GCTCTTGCCCTGCTCCTTGCAGAAGTCCTGCGCAGATGAGGGCCGAGGGCGGTCAGGGTCTGAGAGGAAAAGGAAATTTTTGGAGACCGACCTGGCCCACGACTCAGAAGGTAAGCAGGGCTGGCCCTGCGAGTCTGCTCTCCTCCCGTTTGTTGGTTTACAACGAATCCTGCGAATAACGGCAGTTTTATGGATTCTTTTGTGGAGTGCTTAAGTTTTTCACTCTGTTCCAGAGCTCTTCCAGGATCTCAGCCAGCTCCAGGAGGCCTGGCTAGCCGAAGGCAAGTCCTCACCTCTGCCTTTTGCTATGCAAAAATTGCTGTGAGTGGTTTTTTGAGAACTGAAAATGCCATAAAACCACTTTTTGTTTGTTTGTTTTTTTTAGCTCAGGTCCCCGATGATGAACAATTTGTCCCAGATTTCCAGTCTGACAACTGTAAGTGATTGTTCTGGGTTTTATTCTCTGGGGCAGGGGAAATGTCTTGGGTGCCCATGCAAAACCTCACGCGGGGTTCGAAACCGCTTCTGCAGGGAAAGCGGGCGTTGCTGGGGCTGGAGGCATGAAAATTGGGGACTTTTGGGAGAAAGCACATGCGGTTTGGGTTCATTGAGGTGAAACTTGCAATGCTCCTGTCTTTTGTAAATGGGGAAAATTACAGCCAAATGCACGAAAACCATTCCTCCGAGCCTCACTGCCTGTTCATAGCAATGCCGATTTGCTTAGAAACACTTCTTTTCCTTTTCAAGTGGATGTGCGAGCCCGTGCCGGGCCGCTCAGCAAGCCGCAATCCCTGCAGTTGCTGGAGCTTTTTTCCAGTCCTGGCCTAGCGCTTTTGGCAGGAGTGGACCCAAACGGTGAAACTTGAGCTGCTTTAAGCAGCATTAATCACTGGTGAGCGAGCGCGTTTCAAAGGAGGCCAGTGAAAACGAAGCCCTGCTGGAATTGCATAAGAGCAAGAGTTGGTTTGGAGCCGTGGTTTGTGGCCAGCCCGGGTTAGTGGCGAGGGCAGGGGCTGGGGAACGGCACTCCTGACATTGGAGGGGAAGGGGAAAGTTAAGGCGTTTTGGGTCGTTACCTGGCAAACAGAAGGAGCAGCTTGTTGGCTGTGGCTGGGATTTGCTGCCGAGCAAGGCAGCTCTCGAACTTAAAGGAAATCAAATTTTGCCTGCAGTCGAACAGATTTTTTCATTCCAGCTTTGTCACAGCATGCAGCAGGGTATCTTTTCCTACAGTAAAAGCACGTTAATTATTGCTCTTTGATTACTTTGGAGCGGGAAGCTTGCCATTAAATTGTTCCAGACAGCCCAACTTTCAGATGCACTTTTTTTTTTTATTTCCCCCCCATCTCCCCTGAGATAAAAGGCGAGCCCCGAGGCAGGCACACAGCCGGCTGTTGACATCCCAGCGCAGCCCGGCAGCTCTCGCTTGGAGCGGTAGAAACTGCAGCGTGCGTGGGAGGGTGGCTCCAAGAGCCGGAGCTGTTTCCAGTGCCTTTTGGCAGGCTCTTGTTTCCTTGTAACCTGAAGAGCTCGGAGAGGAGAAACAAACTTTTTTGGGGCAATGCAGGGAAAGAAAGAAAGGGGAAAAAAAAAAATCAAGCATTTGGTTGAGACTCTTAAATGTTCTCCTGACCTGCTCGGCCTCTGCAGACTAGCGTTGAAATGACTTTGTCACTTGAAAGGACCCCCCTGGCGTGACTCCCCGCTGTAATAACCTGCCTTAATATTCCTGGGGAAAGAAAGCAAAGGTTTCCCTCACTACCGTAAGTGGGGGGAGGGGGAAGGGGAGGGGGAGGGCGATGAGAAGCCTGACTCTTCTGTACCAGCCTTGGAGAGCATTTAAAGAGGAGAAAGTCCTTAGCTAACAGCTTTCTGACCCCGTATTCTCATTTCACTCTGGTTTTGAACCATGTGCGGGGTAGGAAGGAGAGGAGTGACCATGTACCTGGGCTGGGGCTCGCACTGGGGTTTGGTGCCCCATAGCTCCCAAGGGAAGGCAAGTCCTCTGTTCCACATGGATGTTTGTGTCGCCACAGTTGTGTAGCTCTGTGCCTTTTCCCTGACATGCATGTGCCACATCGAGCTCCGAGTCACAGCATCCTTTTTCTCCTAGCTAAAACTCCTCCTTGCCTGCGGTTCCCCTGTCCCTGATTTTTGTATCTGAGGTCTCTAGCAGATGCTGGCTTAAAGCTGGGGTTTGGCTGTAATGTGCCTGAGGGTGGCAGGGCCTGCACCATGGGGAGGGGGCAATCATGCTGTGAGAAGGGGGAAAGTGGGCTCCTCCAAAGCCAGCGTGTGTTGTTCTCAGCGCCCCGGACCAGGCCGGATTTAGGGCTTTTAATGTGCCCGGAGAAGCGGCAGATCCTCCCCAGGGGCCGTGGGTGACTGCGCAGAGCTCCTGGAGCTGGCCCTCATGTCCCCTCCCTGGCCAGGTGTCAGTCCTGGGGACAAGGGTGTCTGTACAATGTTATATCCCCACCAGTTGTTTCAATAACTGGAGAGCAATGGGGTCATGCTGGGGAGATCAAGCACCATGAGAAGCTTTGCCTTATGCAGGGGTTTGCTACCAGGGGTCTTGCGGCCCGTGGTGAAAAGCTTGAGCAGGGCACGGAGCAGGGTTCCTACACACTGAAAGGCAAGCAGGAGGTTTGTGTTTTTCAGAAGGGTTGTTTAAACAAAGGCGAGCAGGAGCCTGGCTGCTATTTCTGGCTCCTCTCCTGGTGTGACCTTGGGTGCGTCCTGCGGCACTGGGGATGGAGGGGCAGGCTGGAAGCCCAGGTGATGGCTGATGTGGGTGCCAAGGTCCCCAGCCACTGACCCAGCTGGCAGTGGTGGTTTGATCGCCTTCCTTGTGGTGCCACTGGCAAAGGCAGTGTCCTCCAGGTGCAGCCTCTGAGAGGTCCCATCAACCAATCTGCCCTGTCCCCCACCAAGGGATTTGGTGGCAATTCGAGGCCTGAAATGGCTTTGAGGTGTCACCTTTCCCACGGGAGTCCTCTTGGCTGAAGGTTGATGTTTGGGGCATCTCCACCTTGGCTGACACACTATGGCACTGCAAGGGTATGCCTGAGCATCCCATCTTGTTGGAGCACAAATCTTAAGAATGGCTGAGGGAGCTGAGAGGGTTCAGCCTGGAGAAGAGGGGGCTGAGGGGAAACCTTATCACCCTCTACAGCTCCCAGAAAGGAGGGGGTAGCGAGGGGGGTTGGTCTCTTCTCCTGAGGAACAAGCAATGAGATGAGAGGAAATGGCCTCAAGTTGTGCCAGGGCAGGTTTAGGTTGGGTATTGGGAGAAATTTCTTTACTGAAAGAGTGGTCAGGTGCTGAAAGAGTCTGTCCAGGGCAGTGGGTGGAGTCCCCATCCCTGGAGCTGTTCAAGAAGTGCGTGGATGTGGCACTTGGGGACATGTTTTAGTGGGCATGGTGGGGTTGGATTTGATCATCTTGGAGGTCTTTTCCAACCTCAATGATCCTGTGATTCTGTGATCCTCTCCTCCTGCTTGTGTCCTGTTGCCTAGCCTCCCCAGAGCCCTTCTGTTCCCAGTGGCTGGGGCAGCCCAGAGAGGGTCCAGCACGCACCCATGGATACTCAGTCCCGGTGCGGATGTGCTGAGATGCGTTCACCAGCCTCGCCTGTAGTTAAGCTGCTCCGTTTGCCTATTTTTATATATTTTTTTTAGCTTTTAATTATAGTACTAAGCACAGGACTGGAAAGGTTCAAAGCGCTCGTGCACCCACCATGCTTTCAAGGGCATCGCCCTCAAATCACTCGACCCAGAGTGGGTTTAGGCGAGCAGCACTGGCCCCACAGCGTTTGTGTGAAGGATCCGAGCGAAGCAGCTGGTCCCAGTTAGCTCAAGGCTCGTTTCCCTTTTCTTGAATGGCGGCACTGAGCTCTGGGTAATTTTTTCTTTGCTTTCTTTTTTTTTCCCTCTTCCCCCGGCCGCATGAATGGAGCGCTCCAAATTGTTTGTGAATGGAGGGTGGTGCCCGCTCGGAGACTTTTTTCTTTTTTCTTTTTTTTTTTTTTTTCTTCAATGAATAACCAGACCCCATTGTACGCCTGGCGGAAAAACAACCCGCTCCAACAACACGGAGCCTGTTCGGGAGAAACGCACCCGCCGTAGGCAGCTGGAGCCCTTCCAAAGACAAT